TGAGAGTGAGAGGAAAGGAGAGTGCGAAGGGAAACAGCAAAGGGTGAGAGTGAGAGGAAAGGAGAGTGCGAAGGGAAACAGCAGGCGTGCACCTTGAGAGGGTCCAGTGACAGGTCGAGGACGGAGGGTGAGAGTGAGAGCGGGGGAGAGTGGGAGCGGAAGAGAGTGGGAGCCGAGGAGAGTGGGAGCGGAGGAGAGTGGGAGCGGAGGAGAGTGGGAGCGGAAGAGAGTGGGAGCGGAGGAGAGTGGGAGCGGAGGAGAGTGGGAGCGGAAGAGAGTTGGAGCGGAGGAGAGTGGGAGCGGAGGAGAGTGGGAGCGGAAGAGAGTGGGAGCGGAGGAGAGTGTGGGGGAAAGGAAGAGAGTGGGAGGGCACCTTGAGAGGGTCCAGTGACAGGTCGAGGGCGAAGGCTCTGCTGAGAAGCACACTGGCAGCCCACCGCACCGACTGCTCTGATACCAATTGTTGTTGCTGCTGCTGCTGCTGCTGCAGCTGTGATGGCAAAGGTAATTTGTTTGCTCCTGCCGCTATCAACGCTGCAGCATCATCCCTGGTGGATGGGTAGAGGACGCGGAACAAGGTGCTGGGTGAAACGACAAGAATGTACTTTGGGAAAAACCTTTGAGTCGACTCAAAAGTGAAACGACAAGGGTGTACTTAGGGCAAAATGAAAAGAAAAAAAGGCCAAGCTCGTAAAACAACCGAGAATAGACGAGCGAGGTAAGCCAGTTGATGTGACTGTACGAGCAAGAGAACAGGCACCTGCACATGTCGCCGCGTGATTGGATGGTTTGGAGCAGCGGGGAGCCTTGCAACCAATAGCAGAGCCAGTCCTGGTGTGGCAGGCGAGGTGCAGCAAGGGAGGAATGGGGATACAGAGAGGGAAAGGCTTTGAGTCGGCTCAAAAGTGTGATTGGGTGGAGTTGGGAGTGGGGACGCAGTCACGCAGAGTGACAATGGGGGATTGCATGACTTTTGAGTCGACTCAAAAGTCGTTGGGAGTGGGGACGCAGAGTGACAACGGGGGATTGCATGAAAATGTTTCCCACACTGTACTCACACAGGGAACTTACATAGTCACACCAGAGCCGCCCCCCTATAGTCACACGGGCCGGTCACCCCTCTACACTCACATCAGGGAGCATGAGGGGATGTGTACGGGCCATCTCCTGTTCATCCGGTAGCATGGCGATGTAAGCTTCCCAGAAGCTTCCCTGCCCCTTGGCGCGCTCCCACAGCAGGTGCAGCAGCAGCGTCTGCCAGCCTGTCAGCCGGGCGGCACGACTCAGCGGACCAATCACAGGGCACCCCATTGCTGTCTGAGGGATTTATGGAGAGAGAGGGGGGGGGGGGTGGAAAGGGGTGATGTGGGGTTGGTTGCGGTGCTGTGGAGTTGAGGGTCTGCATTGCAGGGCACTCCTTCGCTGTTCGAGGTTTGTGTGGGAAGAGCGGGGGTAGCGGGGTGGTGAGATGAGATGGCATGGGGTGAGGTGGAGAGGGTGGGGGGAATGAGAGTTGTTGATGGGGGGGTTGATTGAACCGGCCTAAGCTGTGGGAACGTTAATGCATTTCCCACAGCAGGTGCAGCATGTGCCTGCCCGCCTGTAGGAATTATTGGCACAATCCAATGGACCAATCACAAGGTTCAAGGGTTACGGGGAAGAGGAGTTAGGGGGTATGGGGTAAAGGATTCAGGGGTTATGGGCCAGAGAGGGTTCAGGGTTTACGGAGCAGAGGGTTCAGAGGTTATGGGGAGAGGGAAATTTCGCCAGGCGTGTGACCTGTGTGAGCCTATAACCACATGCCCGTTGACTGACCTGCACGTTCATGATTGCAGCATGTGGCCACCACCTTTCGTTTTAGTCACCTCGTTTAGTAATCTCGCGTTATAGTCACATGTCCGTTGACTGACCTGGACGTTCATGAATGCAGCATGTGGCACCGCTACTGTCACATCCCCTTGCTTCACCCCATCGGGTCCTGCCACTGCCCCGATCCTGTGCACTGTAGACCCTGCTGCTGGCGACGCATCCACGTCAGCAATCTCTAGGCGAATCCCCAACGGATCATGCCCCAAACCAGCCAGCCAATCAGCGAGCTTCGTCAAGCGCGCAGCGGAGCCGTCATCAGAGTTGGATGGTCCAGCCTGATCCGATAACGAGGCTGCTTGTACCGCGAATGGCGATTGCGAGCTGCAGTGAACAGTCCTGACTGCTCTGCTCTCCACTCGAGATTGATATTGCCGTTGCGGTGGTATAACAGAAGCTGAATGCGAATGACGGTGAAAGGAACGTTGAGGCGAGAAAGAAGGTTTCAGAAAGTAGCGGCAATCGCGGGAAATGAGCTTCTGCAGAAGCTGGGGCCGCGATATTAGTCTCTGTTCCAAGGATAGCATTCGCGCAGGCGTTAACTTCCCACCAAATGCGCTTCCCATTTCCGCAAAGGACCTGCTTCTTATTGAAAGGGGGAAATGATAACTCGTGGATTTTTCTTGCCGTTGATGCTATTAGTTCCAATGCATGGTAACCATGCGCGCTTTCGTCATGGGCGAAACCTCTGTTGCTATCGGTGTTGGTGGTATGTGTGAAAGCTCTGACTCGATAACTCAATCACTGGCTGCTGCTGCATTTTACTCAAGAGTACTAGGAGTTGATCCTTTGACGCGAACTGCTGATTCGCACGCCAAGACGGAAACGTTATACCGCACGATTCGCGAACCAGGATGCGCGAGTCAGGTCGGGAAAGCGGCCCAGGTTCCTCGGTATAGTGGCTAATGCTCGAGCCACTTCTTCCTAAACACACGAGTCATGCGAATGTAGTTACGGCGAGATTTCTAGAAGCCGACTCGGAGTGGCAAGGCTTATGAGAAATTCCTTGTCCTAGCAGTCGTACACCATGTCCTAGCAGTCCAGAACATTGCAAAATCACAAACGCATCGCTTTTGGTTGGCCCGTTAAAACCCACCATTCCGATAACATATGAATCAAAGCTGTGTCTCACATTACAACCTAAATTGACACAGTTCCGTGGAATTGCAGAAGGTAGACCTCTAACCATGAAGTCGTGCAATCAAACCAAGAAAGAGCACCGTCAGAGATGCATCTGGTAGTGATAGATTGACAAAGTATGATGAAATCCAAATAATAGTGCAACCACATTTTTAGTGGAAGAAACAATGGCTTTTCCTTCTTACAACTCAAACGCATGCTAGCGGTATATCTTGTGACAATTGGCATGTAATGTCCACTACATTATCAAAGCAGAGTCAACCGCGTAGGATATTGCAGTTCTGTTGCAGGCGATCGTGCAACCAGACGTTGCCACCTAGCAAAAAAAAAGCAGTCATTCGACCAATCGATGCAATAATCTAGTCACCAGTTCTCAGCCAGCTTTTGTAACCAATGCCATAATGCCACGTCGTGAAGGCAGAAAATATATGTTTCCTCCTCACTGTTGGTGTGATTGCACGCTGAAAGCATGGTTTGCAAGCACAACAATGGCAGATGCAGCGTCAGCGGTTGTGACCGTCAACTTACCGGGGCAAAGATCAAACTGGGGCCGGAAAATAGCAGCAAGGTGTCCAAATTTGGGCCGGGTAACCGAAACTGGACATTTAGAGTTAATAACTTTATTTCCCATAATCGCGTAATTATTTCACTTGTCAGATGTTCCGACGCGTGGTAACTGATTGAGAGAAACTTTACGTCGTTAGCGTCACCAGGCACTAGACGACGCTACCAGGAACTGTTAGGGCAGGGCAGCAAAACTAAAACCCTTCGCGAACCTGGACTCATTTTTGGGAAGGATCAACCCTAAACACGGGAACCCGCCTGGAGTTTAGGGTTGATGCCTCCCCGAGTCGCATCCGTTTCCGAGCGGGTTTTATTTTGTAGGTCAGGTAAAGTGATGTGTCTCCGAAAAATATATACACCATGAGGAATACGATGAGAGCTTCGTAGGAAAAAACATTAAAACAAAAACGTCAAGATTTTGATAATTTCCTTAAGAGCTCTGGTTCGGGTTATCGGCCCAGCCACATGGGCAGCTCCGGGGATGTATCGAACGGTTGGGATTTACCCGGACCTATATTGGACACCCCGCTGCTATTTTTCGGCCCCAGTTTGATCTTTGCCCAACTTACCGCCACAATGACCTCGGAAAGATCAGTCATGCCCAAGAGATCAGCCCAAGCGCGCCGTCACTTTCCACGACAAATTGCCACGTGGGATGTGGACACTGTTGTGACGGATTGAATGCGAGGATTCACCCAACCAGCCAACGGAAATTATCAACAAATTTCGGCGAATGTAGCAACCTCTAACGAGACTCGCCAGGGTCTGAACGCCACCAGCTTTGGCGGGAAAATGCATTCCCAAGACCAAACCAGAAGCAGACCGCAACGGTATGTGATCAACGAACCAGGAACCGAGCTGGTAACCGCCGCTTTGTCCGTCGCAAGAAACGAGGCTCTCGTGAGCCAATCACGATGAAAATCTGCAGTCGCCAGGCGAGATCAACTGAAGCGATGAGATCAGGGTGACAACCAGCCAGTCAAAAGAACACACTTGCACAAAGCGTGACGCACCAGGGAAGAAAGCTCAAGAGAGCATTGGGATCTGCTGTTGTTTGCATTTCTCGAGGTTGCTTGCCTTGCAGTGGCTGTGCGAGACTAGCTGCTGCCAGTAGAGACTCACCAGCCGAGGGAGTCTAGTTCTGCTCGTCAACATCCCGGGTTCCTGGCGTCCTCAGCTGTTCGGATCATTTGTTGATCGAAAGCAGCGTGGTTTGGAGCTACCAGTCACTTCCGGTCTGTTTAGCTTCCTGTGCGCAGGACACTCAGTCTCCTTGCTTCTGAGCCTGAGGAACAATGATGGCAATGGCAGCAGCTAGAGCGCAGGCTCCGCTTGTTGCGCGAGCCTTAGACTGTTGCAACGAAGTCCGTACTTCCTCCTCTAGCAAGTGGGGAGTGGTTCGAGGAATCGCTCCTTCTCTCGGACGGTCCATGTCCAGTCGCCTCAATTTCGCGTCCTCGATCGCTGGTACTCCGTTGATCTCTGGCGATCGTGCTCGGGTTTCGCCCGGCTCTGCGAGTAACCGGGCGAGTTCGCGAGCTCCGCTTTCGCTGCGTGCGGCGGTCGCGACGGACGAGCCAGTGGTGAGCATTTTCGCACTTTCTGGTGATAACGAGACGAATCACAATCCTCTCAAAATTTTAGAAATGTGCAGAACTTCTCATAACTTAGTGATATTTTGCGTGGAAGCAAGCCAGAGCTGAAGATACGTGCACTCCAACTTCCTAAACCTTTGCCGTAGTCGTTGCGTCTGTCTTGTGCTGTTTCAACATTTCATCACTGAAACCTTCCGTGACCATTGTTATTGTTCGTCGCAAGCGACTGTGAATGGCGATGCCATAACCATTTGTATTTTCTCTTTTGTGTACCTTTTTTTTCCCCGTGACGTGCTCGTGACGTACAGACGCTCAGCCAGACTTACTCGCTCGAGGATGGCTCCAAGCTTGAGGTCGGTTGAATTGTTATCGTGCAAGCTAGGAATCTGCATGTCACACCAGGATAAATTAGAACCAGCGAACGGCACGAGTCTGTAGTGGCCGCAACGGTTTCTGATAGCTGTCGACAGCCGTCGTTGACAAATGGTTCTTCTGGGATAGCTCATTTCATCTGATTGTCTTGGCGTCTCGTCATTCCAGTTCCGAAAGAGTTCCTCGCAGCCGCTGATTCGTCGTACGGGGTTGTGGCGTTTCTGTTTTCCCGCCTGATCAATCCTCCCGTCGATCGTCCTGTTTCAACCTTCGCGCGCGAATCTTCTCGGCGGATACACGGATCAGTCCCGCGCGCACGCAATTCTTGAGCTGAGCGCCGTCTTGGGTTCAGTAGTTCTGCCCATACTGATTATTCTCTTCCGTCGCACGTTTCCCCCCGTTCTGGCTCTTGCTGTCGCCGCAGGTCTTAGCGGTGGGATCGACGGACCAGTCGCGCGCGCACGTGATTCTCGAGCTGCACGGCGGGCCGCTGGTGAACGCGCAGCTCATCGCGCACTGGGGCGCCGTCCGCCACGGCTCCAGGTCAGTGCGCGGAGCCAATCGACGTGGATCCAGGTCAGTGCGCGGAGCCAATCGACGTGGATCCAGGTCAGTGCACGGAGCCAATTGAAGTCGGTGCGCGGAGCAGTTGACATGGATCCAGGTCAGTGCGCGGTGCAATTGACGTGGATCCAGGTCAGTATACCAAGCTGATCGACATGGATCGAGGTCAGTGTGCGGAAGAGAAGGTCATCGCCCTCTGACCAGTACAGCGTGCACCGGATCAGGTAAGATAAGCTTGAATTCACAAGGCCTGACGATAAAAGACCTGATGACTATGAGTTAATTTAGTGACACGTCCTTCCTTATCGCGTTGCCTGTGTCCCTGGACTTTAATCCGGTGCCTCAATGCTGGCGCACAGCTACGCTATCATCGCGTATTCGGGATCCCGGATCCTCCTTCCTTCCTCTCCCCTGCTGTCCTTCCCTTGGCCTGATCCCTGATCCCGGATCAAAGCCTCACTGCGCTTCAGCCTGACACCGCAAGTCCGTGCGTCCTTGGCACAGTCACGCCACGAACTCCTACTTTGAAACCGACTCAATTCTTTCCCTTTCTCTCCCCTGCCGTCCTTCCCTTCCCAGCAGACGGATCCTTCCTGAGCGTCAGCCTGATACAACAAGGCCGTACATCCTGCCTTGGCAGAATCACACAGTGGTCTCGTGTTCCAAATTCAATCCAACTCTCTCCCTACCTCTCCTTTGCTGTCTTTCCCTTTCTCAGCGGATGGACCCTCCCCGGGCTTCAGCCTGACGGCACCAGACCGTATAAGAACCGTGCCCTACAGTCACCCTTCACTAAGGTGAGGTGCAGTCACGTTAATATAACGTTGTAGTCGAGGCAAGGTTATTAGGAAGGAATGCATCGATCTGCAGAAATGGATGTGTGTTTCAAGAAGTTTCTAAGCTAGTCGAGGCTAGGTTATTAGGAAGGAATGCATCGAGCTTATGATGTTGCTCGTTGTTTACTATTTGCTATGTCTCTTCTATATCCTCCTCCCTGTGCCCTCAACAGATTGGAGACCGTGCGAAGCTCAAGATAGAGGTGGTGGACGCGGAGTACTCGGCAGTGGAGTTCACTCTCAAGGACGACGCCACCAACGCCTGGTGAGACACATGCATCGTGGTCCTTTACGTGCTGTCAAGGATGTTTTCTGTTGTTGCTGTCATGGCGGTAAAACCAAAAAGGGAGAGGTGGTGGACGCGGAGTACTCGGCAGTGGAGTTCACTCTCTCAAGGACGACGCCACCAACGCCTGGTGAGGCACCCTTGTCTTTGTGCAGCGCGTGCTGTCCAGGATGCGTGCTGTTGTTGCTGTCAAGGCGGTAGGAGGGAGGAACACATGTGCCTTGCATAGGGGGAGGTGGACGCGGAGTACTCGGCAGCGGAGTTCACTCTCTCAAGGACGACGCCACCAACGCCTGGTGAGTTTCCCATTCCCACCGTGTTGACATGGCACCGATGCCTGTTGAGGCTCATGAATGGAGGTGTGGGATTTCAGTACTCGGCAGTGGAGTTCACTCTCTCAAGGACGACGCCACCAACGCCTGGTGAGGCATCTGGGACGTTGGCCTGTGCAAAACATCTCGCTGAGCAATTGCTGAGGCGACTCAAGGATGCGGCTTTTGAGTCGACTCAAAAGTGAGTCGACTCAAAAGACGCCTGGTGAGGCATCTGGGACGTTGGCCTGTGTAAAACATCTCGCTGAGCAATTGCTGAGGCGACTCAAGGATGCTTGCTGCTGTTGCTGTCCAGACGGTAGGACTGTGTGAATCTCACAGAGTGGTGGGTGTGTAGGAGTACTCTGCAATTGAGTTCACTCTCAAGGGTGGTGCCACCAACGCCTGGTACCTTGGTCTGTTCTCCCAGCAGTTGCTCAATGAGGCGTTTTAGTTGTTGCTCTGTGCCCTGCCCACCATCAAGGATGATATCTATCTATGCCTCCTGCCAATGCCGTAAGACTCTGTGAGGCTCATAGATCTTAGGTAGTGGTGGTGTTAGGTGTCCCGCTCATCCTCACAGAGTCTCCCTCCACGTTCACTCCCTTATTCCGCCCTTCATTCCCCCATAGATTCAAGTGCCCCGGCACGAACTTCGGCGTGGACATCACTAAGTCGCGGGCTTATGTAGACTCGTCACTGTGATCCGGATCATATGATCGGTAGTAACCAATAGCTCACCCACTTCCTCCTCCCTCGATCTCTGACCCGCTCTTCCCCCCCTCTCTTCCCCTCCCCCTCACCTATTTCCCCCCCTCCCACAGGTTCAAGTGCCACAGCACCAACTTCCACGTGGACATTCCCAAGTCGCGCGCTCGCATAAATCCTGCTACCATTGTAGCACAAGTCAATATCTCAATCTCCCCTGCCCGCCTCCCCTGCCCCCCACTCCCCCCTTCCCCAGGTTCAAGTGCCACGTCACCAACTTCCACGTGGACATTCCCAAGTCGCACGCTCGAGTAGAACGCCACTGTGATCCCTATCAATTGATCTGTCGGAGCCAGTAGCTGACCCTCACTCCACCCCCCCCTCCCACAGGTTCAAGTGCCACGGCACCAACTTCCACGTGGACATACCCAAGTCGCGGGCGCACGTGGACCCAGCCACCATTGTGATTCCCGAGGAGCTGGTTCGCGTGCAGGCGTTCCTGCGGTGGGAGCGGAACGGCAAGCAGCACTACTCGCAGGAGAAGGAGAAGGTGAGCGGCAGTATGGGAGAAAGTGAGGGGCAGAAGCAGCAAGGAGAAGTTCAGGTGGTATGGTATCGTGTGTCGAGTGTCTGACAAGCTTTGGCCTGTGAGGGGCTGAAAGGATCACTCCAAGAGGTGGAGTAGCTGGTTCGCGCGCAGGCGTTTTTGCGGTGGGAGCAGAACGGCAAGCAGCACTATTCACAGGAGAAGAGAAGGTACGGCGAAGAGTGGAGTGTGTTAGGTGTCCGTTAGTCGTTACCCTTCGAATTGCTCAGAGGATTGGCCAGATGGGAGAAGGTGAGCGATTTGAGACGTCTCAAAACACTTTTATTATCACATGGTGGAGTGTGTTAGGTGTCTGTTAGTCGTTACCCTTTGAATTGCTCAAAGGATTGGGCAGATGGGAGAAGGTGAGCGAGATGGGCAGTGGGGGAGCGTTAATGCCTACTGCCCCCCTGTTCATTTCCTCTCCTCCAATCATCCACCCCACCCCCCTCCCTTTCCCCCCCCGCCCCCCCTTCCCCTCCACACCCCAGGAGGAGTATGAGTTGGGGCGTCTGGATCTTCAGAAGGAGGTGGCAGCAGGGGCAACGATGCAAGTCCGTCCTGAAGGGGGAGGCTGCTGGGTGGAGGCAGCATTCAGACAGAGCTGGCTTTGACTCCTCCTTTCCTCATTCCTCTTCCTTTTCCAATCATTCAACCTCCTCCTTCCTCCCTTTTCTTTCCCCAGGAGAAGTATGCATTGGCACGTTTGGATCTTCAGAAGGAGGTGGCGGCAGGAGCAACGATGCAAGCTCTGGAAGAGAGGCTTCTGGGCGGAGGCAGCATCTTCAGACTGAGCTGGCTTCCACTCCTCTTGTCCCCATTCTTCTCCCTTTCCCAATCATCCGCCCAACTTCTCTCCCTTCTTCCCCTCACTAGGAGGAGTATGAGTTGGGTCGTTTGGATCTTCAAAAGGAGGTGCCGGCAGGAGCAACGATGCAAGCTCTGGAGGAGAGGCTTCTGGGCGGAGGCAGCCTCTTCAGACTGAGCTGGCTTCCACTCCTCTTGTCCCCATTCTTCTCCCTTTCCCAATCATCCGCCCAACTTCTCTCCCTTCTTCCCCTCACTAGGAGGAGTATGAGTTGGGTCGTTTGGATCTTCAAAAGGAGGTGGCGGCAGGAGCAACGATGCAAGCTCTGGAGGAGAGGCTTCTGGGCGGAGGCAGCCTCTTCAGACTGAGCTGGCTTCCACTCCTCTTGTCCCCATTCTTCTCCCTTTCCCAATCATCCGCCCAACTTCTCTCCCTTCTTCCCCTCACTAGGAGGAGTATGAGTTGGGTCGTTTGGATCTTCAAAAGGAGGTGGCGGCAGGAGCAACGATGCAAGCTCTGGAGGAGAGGCTTCTGGGCGGAGGCAGCCTCTTCAGACTGAGCTGGCTTCCACTCCTCTTGTCCCCATTCTTCTCCCTTTTCAATCATCCGCCCAACTTCTCTCCCCTCTTCCCCTCACTAGGAGGAGTATGAGTTGGGCCGTCTGGATCTTCAAAAGGAGGTGGCGGCAGGAGCAACGATGCAAGCTCTGGAGGAGAGGCTTCTGGGCGGAGGCAGCCTCTTCAGACGCTCGGACGACCAGCCATCACCGCCTCCTCCGCAGCAGCAGAAGCAGCAGGCACCGCCCCCACCCCCCCAGCAGCAGCAGCAGCAGCAGCAGCAGCAGTTGGAGCCGATTCCGAACGATCTGATCGCCATTCAGGCATATGTGCGGTGGGAGCGGGCGGGGAAACCACACTATGACGAGCAGAAACAGGGGCAGGAGTTCATAGAGGCAAAGCGAGAGCTCGAAGGAGAGGTTCGGCGGGGCACGTCCGTTCTGGACATCCGCAAGAGGCTCACCGGAGGGAGCGAGGCCACGGCTCCCTCCGCTCCCCCCTCAAAGCCTCAGTACAGTGTGTGGAAAATCGACAGGAAGCAGTGGGGGTACGACGATTTGATTAGCACGGCTGGGAGGAAGGGGCGGAAGGGGCATGGGGATGCGGGAGATGGGGCGGCAGCGGCGGCTGTAGCACCGGCGCCGGCTGTAGCGGAGGCTGAAGCTGCTGCTGCTGCGGATCCGTTGGAGCTGGCAGCGCAGATCATTGCAGGGGCGGGACTGGGGGAGGTGCTTCTGAAGAAGTATTTCAAGCTGAACGAGAAGAAGCTGCTGGTGAGTGGGGCCTTGTAAACGGGCGTTATAGAGTGCTTCGCCATGGTGTATAGGCACCTCACAGGATGGGTGGCATCAGCTGGAGAGCTGGCAGCGCCGATCGTTGCTGGGGTGGGACTGGGGGAGGCTTCAGAAGAAGTACTACCGGCTGAACAAGAAGCTACTGGTGAGTGGAGCTTTGTAAAGGGGCGCTATAGAGTGCTTCACCACTGCTTCACCATCTCCTTCCCCCTCTCATCTCCTCCCCCCTCTCATCTCCTCCCCCCTCTCATCTCCTCCCCCCTCTCATCTCCTCCCCCCTCTCATCTCCCCCCCCCTCTCATCTCCCCCCCCCTCTCATCTCCTCCCCCCTCTCATCTCCTCCCCCCTCTCATCTCCTCCCCCCTCTCATCTCCTCCCCCCTCTCATCTCCTCCCCCCTCTCATCTCCTCCCCCCTCTCATCTCCTCCCCCCTCTCATCTCCTCCCCCCTCTCATCTCCTCCCCCCTCTCATCTCCTCCCCCCTCTCATCTCCTCCCCCCTCTCATCTCCTCCCCCCTCTCATCTCCTCCCCCCTCTCATCTCCTCCCCCCTCTCATCTCCTCCCCCCTCTCATCTCCTCCCCCCTCTCATCTCCTCCCCCCTCTCATCTCCCCCCCCCTCTCATCTCCTCCCCCCTCTCATCTCCTCCCCCCTCTCATCTCCTCCCCCCTCTCATCTCCTCCCCCCTCTCATCTCCTCCCCCCTCTCATCTCCTCCCCCCTCTCATCTCCTCCCCCCTCTCATCTCCTCCCCCCTCTCATCTCCTCCCCCCTCTCATCTCCTCCCCCCTCTCATCTCCTCCCCCCTCTCATCTCCTCCCCCCTCTCATCTCCTCTCCCCTCTCATCTCCTCCCCCCTCTCATCTCCTCCCCCCTCTCATCTCCTCCCCCCTCTCATCTCCTCCCCCCTCTCATCTCCTCCCCCCTCTCATCTCCTACCCCCTCTCATCTCCTCCCCCCTCTCATCTCCTCCCCCCTCTCATCTCCTCCCCCCTCTCATCTCCTCCCCCCTCTCATCTCCTCCCCCCTCTCATCTCCTCCCCCCTCTCATCTCCTCCCCCCTCTCATCTCCTCCAATCCCCCACACCTTCCCCCACAACCCCCCCTCGCCCTAACCCCCTTCTCATCAGGTGCTGCTGATGGAGTGTGACGGCGAGCTCAAGGTGCGGCTGGCGTCGGACTACCCTCTGCATCTGCCATCCCCCACACCCGTCATCCCGTCATCCCCTCTCCCTTCCCCGCCTCCCACTCGCCCATCAGGTGCTGCTGATGGAGTGTGACGGCGAGCTCAAGGTGCGGCTGGCGTCGGACTACCCTCTGCATCTGCCATCCCCCACACCCGTCATCCCGTCATCCCGTCATCCCCTCTCCCTTCCCCGCCTCCCACTCGCCCATCAGGTGCTGCTGATGGAGTGTGACGGCGAGCTCAAGGTGCGGCTGGCGTCGGACTACCCTCTGCATCTGCCATCCCCCACACCCGTCATCCCGTCATCCCGTCATCCCCTCTCCCTTCCCCGCCTCCCACTCGCCCACCAGGTGCTGCTGATGGAGTGTGACGGCGAGCTCAAGGTGCGGCTGGCGTCGGACTATCCGGAACCTCTTGTGCTGCACTGGGGGCTTTCCAAGGGGCGCAGCAGAAGCTGGCAGGTGAGGGAAAGCGCAGTGTTATAGGAGGGTTGAGGGTTTAAGGGTGTCAGGTTCAGGGGTTTGGCTCTGGAGAGACAGTGTCATCCGGAGCCCCTAGTGCCGCGCTGGGGCTTGTCCAAGGGGCGCGGCAGGAGCTGGCAGATGAGGGGCGGGGAATCAAATGGGGTTTAGGGTTTGCAGGTTTCATGCGTGGGTCTTGGTTTGATCTCTTAAGCCATACGGAACTCCTGCTGCTGCACTGGGGGCTCTCGAAGGGGCGCGGCTGGAGCTGACAAGTGAGGGGTGGGGAATCACAGGGGCTTAAGGGTTTCGGGGTTGAGGGTTCCGTGCGGGTCTTGGGATTTTTCTTCCAAAAGTTTTCCAAAGAATCTCCTGTTGGCACATCGTCTCTTTGCACAACCTCCCTCCCGAATAGTTTCTTCCCATTTCCGTCTCCCTCGTGTCTCCTTGACCTGTTGCGCCCATGCAGACTCCTCCGCCCGGCATTGCCGGATCATCCACACGTTTTGAGAGGGCGTGTGAGGCGGAGTTCAGCAAGGGCTTTGCAGGGGAGCCGTCCCTGCAGGTAAGGGGGCAACCATGGGAAAGGAGGTTGGATTGGAGGGAGTTTCCAGTGGTTCAAGGTAAAGGGGGACCCACTGGAAAACGTGAGTTCTAGTGGCCGCTGCCCCACCCTTCTCCCCATCCCCCCTGTCTGCCCGGTATTGCTGAGTCAACCACACGCTTTAAGAGAGCGTCGAGCAGGAGGTTAAACCTCGCTCGTTCCCTTGTCATGTATATCACACCCGACCGAACCCCACCCCACACCTCAGTCCCTGCACCTGGACCTGGCGGGCGTGGAGCAGAAGCTGCCTGCCTGGGATGCTGTTCATGGTGCCCTTCCCCTTGCTTCCCCTCTCGGTCCTCATTCTTTCCCTGGTCTCGCATCTTACACTGCCACCCACCAACAGTCTCTCCATCTGGACCTGGCGGGCGTGGAGCAGGAGCTACCAGGGACGCGCTCTGCTGTGCTCTTTGCCGAGCCAACCCTAACTCCCCTCTCCCATTCCGCCTCACACCCCATATTGTGCTTCCCCTCCCCACCCACCTCACAGTCCCTGCAGCTGGACCTGGCAGGCGTGGAGCAGGAGCTGCCAGGGATGTTCCCTGTGGGCCCCTTGGTCTCTTCAAGCCAAAAGTTTCCCTTCCTTCCCCCCTCACATCCCTTTCGTGCTCCCCATCTCCACCCACCAACAGTCCCTGCAGCTGGACGTGGCGGGAGTGGAGCAGGAGCTGCCAGGGATGCCCTTTGAGGTGCCCTTCTCCTAGTTTCCCTTTTCGTTGAAACCTCAATTACTTTTCCTGTTCTCACGTGTCACACTGTCATCCCCCTCCCACCAACAGTCCCTGCAGCTGGACCTGGCAGGCGTGGAGGAAGAGCTCCCAGGGATGCCGTTTGTGGTGCGGGCGGGGGAGTGCTGGTTCAAGGACTATGGGCGGGACTTCTTCCTCTCGCTCAATAGGATTGACTACCAGCAGCCCAAGGTGAGAGCGAGGGGACAGGTCGACAAGGGACAGGGAACAAGGCGCAAGGTGCAGGATACAGGGTTGAGGGTAGAGCGGGGGAGTGCTGGTTCAAGGACTATGGCCGGGACTTCTTCCTCTCGCTTAATAGGATTGATTACCAGCAAACCAAGGTGAGGGGGAGGGGACAGAGTGTGAGGGTACTGGGTTTGTGGTGTGGGCGGGTGAGTGCTGGTTCAAGGACTATGGCCGGGACTTCTTCCTCTCGCCCAACCGCACTGAACTCTGAGCGTGTGTCAGGTATAGCTGGAAGCACCATGCTAGGACTGGAGGGACACAGCAGGGCGGCATAATCGACTTAGCATGTGGACGTGTTTTTGGGATTCTGATTGGCAGGGGATCGTGAGGGGGAGAGAGTTGCAGAAGGGTAACGGCTCAATCGCTGACACTGAGAAAGGCACTACAGTGCCCAAGGAGGCCGTTGCCCTGTTGGACTGGATAGCTGTTCAGGAGCGGCGAGCCATGAAGTCACTCATGCATAGGTAGGTTCAGTTGTCTCCTGCTCGTGCTTCAACTCTCCTCTTTTTCTTTTCTTCTACTTCTCCTCCTCTTCTTTCTCCTATCCTCCTCCTCCTCCTCCTCCTCCTCCTCCTCCTCCTCCTCCTCCTCCTCCTCCTCCTCCTCCTCCTCCTCCTCCTCCTCCTCCTCCCTGTTTTCCTCTCTGTTGATATCCTCTTGGCAACTTCCATCCACGTGGCATCAAATGAATGGGCGACACATGGCACCACTGAATGGGTGACACGTGGCATCAGGACATTGGTGATGGTCGCGGGGTGGCAAGGGCAGTGTTGGACGAGATTGCAGACCTGGAGCCCGAGGCCGAGAAGTCGCTCATGCACAGGTGAGCCTGATAACTTTGAACTTCAAACGTTAATTCAAGACTTTGAGCCTGAAACCCTGAACTTCGCCTAAACCCTGAGCCGTAAACCTCTGAGCCTCGAGCCCGAGGCCAGAAGTCGCTCATGCACAGGTGAGCCTCAAAGCAGTTGCACAGATGAGCCTCTACAGTCGACTTTTGAGATTTCTCAAAGGCGAGCCTCAACAATCTACATTATACCTTGCATCACGTTGCTGAGCTTTAACCATGGACCATGAACCTTCAATGAAGCCTATTTTGAGCCATAGCCCACAGGTGTTGGACAGAGCCAAGGCGCAGGGCGAGCTGGGGCTGGCAGCCGTGTTTGTGTTGTAACACCAGCCCATGCTTGATCTGCCGTTAAACCACCCATCCCTAACCCCCACCCTCTCCCCCCCCTCTCCACCCGTCTATCGCAGGTTCAATCTGGGCACGCAGGTGTTGGACAAGGCCAAGTCGCAGGGCGAGCTGGGGCTAGTAGCGGTGTTTGAGTCAAACCAGTCTCAGTCTGTGCTCATTCCGTCCTTCACCCACTCATCCCCACCCTGCCTTCGTCCCCCCCCTGCAGGTTCAATCTAGGCACGCAGGTGTTGGACAAGGCCAAGTCGCAGGGCGAGCTGGGGCTGGCTGCTGTGTTTGTGTGGTTCCGCTTCATGGCATCGCGGCAGCTGGTGTGGAACAAGAACTACAACGTGAAGCCGCGGTGAGTGGGAGGGAGAATGGGAGAGTGTTTATGTGTGTGCATGAGTGCATGTGTGGGGCTTTGTTCTGTGCGTGCACGTGAGGCATGGAGTGGGTGGGTGCTTGTGTGGTTCCGCTTCATGGCGTCGCGGCAGCTGGTGTGGAACAAGAACTACAACGTGAAGCCGCGGTGAGTGGGGGTGGAGTGTATGTGCATGCACATGCGCGTGTGCTAGTCCCGTCCTGTGCGCGGTGTGAAAGGGAGAGTGGTATTTGTGTGGTTCCGCTTCATGGCGTCCCGGCAGCTGATGTGGAACAAGAACTACAACGTGAAGCCGCGATGAGTGGGGGTGGAGTGTATGTGCATGCACATGCGCGTGTGCTAATCCCGTCCTGTGCGCGGTGTGAAAGGAAGAGTGGTATTTGTGTGGTTCCGCTTCATGGCGTCCCGGCAGCTGATGTGGAACAAGAACTACAACGTGAAGCCGCGGTGAGTGGGGGTGGAGTGTATGTGCATGCACATGCGCGTGTGCTAATCCCGTCCTGTGCGCGGTGTGAAAGGGAGAGTGGTATTTGTGTGGTTCCGCTTCATGGCGTCCCGGCAGCTGATGTGGAACAAGAACTACAACGTGAAGCCGCGGTGAGTGGGGGTGGAGTGTATGTGCATGCACATGCGCGTGTGCTAATCCCGTCCTGTGCGCGGTGTGAAAGGGAGAGTGGTATTTGTGTGGTTCCGCTTCATGGCGTCCCGGCAGCTGATGTGGAACAAGAACTACAACGCGAAGCCGCGGTGAGTGGGAGAGAGAGCGTGCATGCATGTGCTGCATGCGCGTGTGGGGCTTTGTTGTGTGCAGTGTGACAGAGGAAGAGGGTGTTCTTGTCTGCACTTTTTGGTATGAGCACTTTTTGGTATGAGCACTTTTTGGTATGAGCACTTTTTGGTATGAGCACTTTTTGGTATGAGCACTTTTTGGTATGAGCACTTTTTGGTATGAGCACTTTTTGGTATGAGCACTTTTTGGTATGAGCACTTTTTGGTATGAGCACTTTTTGGTATGAGCACTTTTTGGTATGAACACTTTTTGGTATGAACACTTTTTGGTATGAACAAGAACTACAATGTCAAGCCGTGGTGGGTAGGGGTGGAGTGTATGAGTTCGCATCGCATGCACGAGCTGACTCGCATGACCCTGATGACAGTGGGCCGCGTGGGGCAGGGCGGCGTGGGGCAGGGCCGCGTGGGGCAGCGCATAGGCCTTCCACAACCCACCCGCTTCTCCATTTCCCCCTCCACACCGTCTCTTCGCGACACGCATGACAGTGGGCCGCGTGGGGCTGAGCGACGTGGGGCAGCGCAGTTGCGACGAGATTCCCCCCTTCCCTTCCCCCCCCTCCCTTTTCCCCCATTCCCCTCCCAACCTCCTCCCCTTCCCCACTTCCACTCCTGCCTTCCGGTTTCTCCCTCCAGTGAAATCAGCGTGGCTCAGGATCGCTTCACAACCGTCTTGGAGGAGGTCTTTCGATCCTCACCGTCGCTGCGCGAGCTGACGCGCATGATCATGATGACTGTGGGGCGCGGCGGGCAGGGCGACGTGGGGCAACGGATCAGGGACGAGATTCTGGTGATTCAGAGCAAGAATGACTGCAAGGGCGGCATGATGGAGGAGTGGCATCAGAAGCTGCACAACAACACGAGCCCTGATGATGTGGTCATCTGCCAGGTTAGTGGCAGGGTGTTTCTGAGATTTCTCATTGTGGAGAGCAAGAACCACTGCAAGGGAGGGGTGATGGAGGAGTGGCATCAGAAGCTGCACAACAACACCAGCCCTGACAATGTGGTTATCTGCCAGGTGAGGAGTTTAGCCCGTTTCCTCTGGTCTTCAGCAATTGATCGATCCCCATCTCCTCCCTTCTCTCTCAACTCCTCTTCCAATCTCACCTCCCTCTTCCCTTCCCCCCATTCCCGCTCCTCCTCCTCCCCCCATCAGGCCTAATCGACTACCTAAGTCCCACTCCTCTGCACCTTCCTCTCCCCTCCCCTCGTCCCATCCTTCATCCCCTTCCCTCCCACCAGGCCCTGATCGACTACCTGAACAGCGACTTCAACATTGACGTGTACTGGCGAACGCTCAACAGGCCTTAACCCCCATACACACACACATACACACACACACATACACACATGCATACCATCCCACGCCCCCCCTCCCATCAGGCCCTGATCGACTACCTGAACAGCGACTTCAACATTGACGTGTACTGGCGAACGCTCAACAGCAACGGAGTGACGCACGAGCGCCTGCTCTCCTACGACCGCCCTATCTGCTCCGAGCCGCGCTTCGTGGCCAGCCAGAAGGAGGGGCTTCTGAGGGATCTAGGGCATTACATGAAATCTCTCAAGGTACGGACCCCTGCTCCTGCTCCTGCTCTGCTCTCATACGAAGGCCCCATCTGCTCCGAGCCTCGCTTTGTGACCAGCCAGAAGGAGGGGCTTCTGAGGGACCTGGCGCACTACATGAAGTCACTGAAGGTACGTATTAAATATGTCTGGCACGTGAGAAACTGCTCAGGGTTCGTTCATGCTTACCACCTAAAAAACGTCTCAAGACTGAAAGTAAGGACCCATATGTCACGAGCCAGGAGGGGCTGCTGAGGGACCTGGGGCACTACATGAAATTGCTCAAGGTAATGAAATATGTTCACGGTAGGTGCACATGAAAAACGTTTCAAGGGTCAAGGTTGCTCCACACCCTTGTGTCACGAGCGAGGAGGAGGGGCTGCTGAGGAACCTGGAAAAATCGCTCAATGTGTGGGTGATGCAGCACCGTGTGAAGCAATAAGCATGCATATTGAGCATTATTGAGCAATAAGCACCGTCTGAAGCAATAAGCATGCATATTGAGCATGATTGAGCAATAAGCACTGTCTGAAGCAATAAGCATGCATATTGAGCATTATTGAGCAATAAGCACCGTCTGAAGCAATAAGCATGCATATTGAGCATTATTGAGCAATTAGCACCGTCTGAAGCAATAAGCATGCATATTGAGCATTATTGAGCAATAAGTACCGTCTGAAGCAATAAGCATGCATATTGAGCATGATTCAGCAATAAGCACCGTCTGAAGCAATAAGCATGCATATTGAGCATTACTGAGCAATAAGCACCGTCTGAAGCAATAAGCATGCATATTGAGCATTATTGAGCAATTAGCACCGTCTGAAGCAATAAGCATGCATATTGAGCATTATTGAGCAATAAGTACCGTCTGAAGCAATAAGCATGCATATTGAGCATTATTGAGCAATTAGCACCGTCTGAAGCAATAAGCATGCATATTGAGCATTATTGAGCAATAAGCACCGTCTGAAGCAATAAACATGCATATTGAGCATTATTGAGCAATTAGCACCGTGTGAAGCAATAAGCATGCATATTGAGCATTATTGATCAATAAGCACCGTCTGAAGCAATAAGCATGCATATTGAGCATTATTGAGCAATAAGCACCGTCTGAAGCAATAAGCATGCATATTGAGCATTATTGAGCAATAAGCACCGTATGAAGCAATAAGCATGCATATTGAGCATTATTGAGCAATAAGTACCGTTTGAAGCAATAAGCATGCATATTGAGCATTATTGAGCAAGTAGCACCGTCTGAAGCAATAAGCATGCATATTGAGCATTATTGAGCAATAAGCACCGTCTGAAGCAATAAGCATGCATATTGAGCATTATTGAGCAATAAGCACTGTCTGAAGCAATAAGCATGCATATTGAGCATTATTGAGCAATAAGTACCGTCTGAAACAATAAGCATGCATATTGAGCATGATTGAGCAATAAGCACCGTCTGAAGCAATAAGCATGCATATTGAGCATTACTGAGCAATAAGCACCGTCTGAAGCAATAAGCATGCATATTGAGCATTATTGAGCAATTAGCACCGTCTGAAGCAATAAGCATGCATATTGAGCATTATTGAGCAATAAGTACCGTCTGAAGCAATAAGCATGCATATTGAGCATTATTGAGCAATTAGCACCGTCTGAAGCAATAAGCATGCATATTGAGCATTATTGAGCTATAAGCACCGTCTGAAGCAATAAACATGCATATTGAGCATTATTGAGCAATTAGCACCGTGTGAAGCAATAAGCATGCATATTGAGCATTATTGAGCAATAAGCACCGTCTGAAGCAATAAGCATGCATATTGAGCATTATTGAGCAATAAGCACCGTCTGAAGCAATAAGCATGCATATTGAGCATTATTGAGCAATAAGCACCGTATGAAGCAATAAGCATGCATATTGAGCATTATTGAGCAATAAGTACCGTTTGAGGCAATAAGCATGCATATTGAGCATTATTGAGCAAGTAGCACCGTCTGAAGCAATAAGCATGCATATTGAGCATTATTGAGCAATAAGCACCGTCTGAAGCAATAAGCATGCATATTGAGCATTATTGAGCAATAAGCACTGTCTGAAGCAATAAGCATGCATATTGAGCATTATTGAGCAATAAGCACCATGTGAAGCAATAAGCATGCCTATTGAGCACGTCAGACGTGATTTAAGCTAGCTGCACAGTTTTGATCTGCACATGACGTATTATTCTCCTTGATCGCCCAGTGTGGTACATCTCTCACCATCTGCCTGTTCTCTGCTTGTCCTTGTGATCCAGGCCGTCCATTCGGGAGCTGATCTGGAGTCGGCCATTGCCACGTGCATGGGGTACAAGCAGGGCGCTAAGGTGAGTCTGTTTAGTCCAATCCCATCCACAGTAAAGCAGCCTGATATGATGTGTAGTAAACATTTTGCTGACTCTTTGCTGCTGAGCTATGCATGATATGCTTACTCCATGCACTACTCATTCAAGGAAATCCTTTGTGGTTAACAGGTGCTTGTTTTTTGAGAATTCTAAAAAAAACTGACTCAAGGAAATCCTTTGTGGTTGACATGTGTTTGTTGCAGGCTGACTTTATGAAGTCTGTCGAGATCCATCCCATTAACGGACTTTCTGGGAACCTTCCGGTGAGTTCATACTTACGACAAGCGCTCAGATTTTTGCTTGTTGTTGCTTAACGTTTTGACTGTGGATTCGGGCTGATGTTTGAGAGTTGGTCCAGTGCTGCCTAGGTCCGTATCATTGTGCAAAGGTGGGCCACAGTTGAAGATTCATGCTTTGCTGAAGGGTTGATTGAGCTTTGCATACACCTTTCTGCCTAAAGGAGAGTTCATTGGTGTGCCTGCAAATACCTGACACCCCTACTCCTTCCTTTCTTCCCTCCCTTGTCCCCTGTTCCCCCCTTCTACCCTTGTCACCCTGCTTCTCCTCTTCCCCACCCCTTTCCTTGTGACTGCAGAATCTGCTTCAGTTTGTGTTGGAGCATGTGGAGGATCGGCAAGTAGTCAACCTGGTGGAGGTGAGTCAAACAGAGTCAACGAGGGTCAAGCAAGGGTCCTAGGAGGACAAACAGAGTCAATGCGATTCAATCAGAGGGTGGTGGAAGAATCTGCCTCAGTCTGTGTTGGAGCATGTGGAGGATCGGCAGGTGGTCAACCTGGTTGAGGTGAGTCAAACAGAGTCAACGAGAGTCAAACAAGCGTCCACACATGTCAAATGGAGTCAATACAATTCAATCAGAGGGTGGTGGAGGAATCTGCTTCAGTTTGTGTTGGAGCATGTGGAGGATCGGCAGGTGGTCAACCTGGTTGAGGTGAGTCAAACAGAGTCAACGAGAGTCAAACAAGCGTCCACAGAGGTCAAATGGAGTCAATGCAATTCAATCAGAGGGTGGTGGAGGAATCTGCTTCAGTTTGTGTTGGAGCATGTGGAGGATCGGCAGGTGGTCAACCTGGTTGAGGTGAGTCAAACAGAGTCAACGAGAGTCAAACAAGCGTCTACAGAGGTCAAATGGAGTCAATGCAATTCAATCAGAGGGTGGTGGAGGAATCTGCTTCAGTTTGTGTTGGAGCATGTGGAGGATCGGCAGGTGGTCAACCAGCGACCCCCTTCTCCCTGCACTCGTCTTCCCCGCTGTTGCACTCGTCAATCAGGACCTCGTGTTCCTCCACCACCTGGCTGGCGCTCCACTCCACTCAGGCTGCTAATCCGAATCTTTATTTGATTTTCAATCCTGTTCCTCCCCTCACCCCTCCCCACCTCCCTTCCTTCCTCCTCCCCTTCCCCTTTCCCTTCGCTCCCCCCTTGAACAAAACAACAGGGTCTGGTGGAGGCGCGGAGGGAGCTCCGGCCGACCCTGCTGAGGCACGGGCAGGAGCGCCTCAAGGACCTAGTGTTCCTCGACCTGGCGCTGGACTCCACTGCCCGCACTGCCATCGAGAGGGGCATGGGTGACGCGAAGAATGCTGGGGTGGGTGGAGACCGATGGGTGCAGTGCGGTGGAATGCGGTGGTATGCGGTGGGGTGCGGGGGAAGTGGGTGAGTAGTGGCAGGAGCGCCTCAAGGACCTCGTGTTCCTCGACCTGGCGCTCGACTCCACTGCTCGCACTGCCATCGAGAGGGGCATGAGCGACGCAAAGAATGCCGGGGTGAGTGCAGGGAGAGAGGTGGGTACAATGCGGTGGAATGGGGTAAACTGGGATGGAATGGGATGGTATGCAGTGGAGTGCGGTGGAATGCGGTGTAATGTCCTGGGGCTGTGGGTAAGTGGGTGGGTGGCAGGAGCGCCTCAAGGACCTCGTGTTCCTCGACCTGGCGCTCGACTCCACTGCCCGCACTGCCATCGAGAGGGGCATGGGCGACGCTAGGAACGCCGGGGTGAGTGCATGCAGAGTGGTGGGTGCAATTCGGTGGAGTTGGGTGGTATGGTATGAGATGACATGCAGTGGAACGCGGTGGAATGTGGTGGGCGTGGCTTAAGGACCTGGCGCTCGATTCCACTGCCCGCGCGGCCATCGGGAGGGGCATGGGCGACGCTAGGAACGCCGGGGTGAGTGCAGCTGTGGAATGTGGTGGAATGGGGTGGATTGCGGTGGGATGCGGGTGACGGTGGTGGTGAAGAACCTTTGAGTTGACTTAGTAGTCCAATGACACGACTTGTGCCCCTTTACCCATCCACCCATCATCCATCCACCCATCATCCATCCACCCATCATCCATCCACCCATCATCCATCCACCCATTCATCCATCCACCCATTCATCCATCCACCCATTCATCCATCCACCCATTCATCCATCCACCCATTCATCCATCCACCCATTCATCCATCCACCCATTCATCCATCTACCCATTCATCCATCCACCCATTCATCCATCCACCCATTCATCCATCCACCCATTCATCCATCCACCCATTCATCCATCTACCCATTCATCCATCCACCCATTCATCCATCCACCCATTCATCCATCCACCCATTCATCCATCCACCCATTCATCCATCCACCCATTCATCCATCCACCCATTCATCCATCCACCCATTCATCCATCCACCCATTCATCCATCCACCCATTCATCCATCCACCCATTCATCCATCCACCCATTCATCCATCCACCCATTCATCCATCCACCCATTCATCCATCCTACCCATTCATCCATCCACCCATTCATCCATCCACCCATTCATCCATCCACCCATTCATCCATCCACCCATTCATCCATCCTACCCATTCATCCATCCACCCATTCATCCATCCACCCATTCATCCATCCACCCATTCATCCATCCACCCATTCATCCATCCACCCATTCATCCATCCACCCATTCATCCATCCACCCATTCATCCATCCACCCATTCATCCATCCACCCATTCATCCATCCACCCATTCATCCATCCACCCATTCATCCATCCACCCATTCATCCATCCACCCATTCATCCATCCACCCATTCATCCATCCACCCATTCATCCATCCACCCATTCATCCATCCACCCATTCATCCATCCACCCATTCATCCATCTACCCATTCATCCATCCACCCATTCATCCATCCACCCATTCATCCATCCACCCATTCATCCATCCACCCATTCATCCATCTACCCATTCATCCATCCACCCATTCATCCATCCACCCATTCATCCATCCACCCATTCATCCATCCACCCATTCATCCATCTACCCATTCATCCATCCACCCATTCATCCATCCACCCATTCATCCATCCACCCATTCATCCATCCACCCATTCATCCATCCACCCATTCATCCATCCACCCATTCATCCATCTACCCACCCACCCTCTTCCTCAGGAGATAATGTATCTATCTGGTGACGCTGCTGGTGGAGAATCTTGGAATCAACTTAGCAGTCGCCCTTACACTTTCCCTGTAACACATGCCCCTTTCCCTGTCATCCATCCACCATCCACCCATCTCACCACTCCAGGAAATCATGTACCTGGTGACGCTGCTGGGTGGAGATCCTCCGAGTCAACCCAGTGGTCACATTTACTCAACTGTGTCCCTTTCTCAATCTACCCACCCACACGCACACCCATCCATACCCACACCACCATCTCATACACCCAGGAAATCATGTATCTGGTGACACTGCTGGTGGAGAACCTCTGTCTGTCCCTTGACGACAACGAAGAGCTCGTCTTCTGCCTCAAGGTGGGACAATGTTTCCTTGTAGCGAGGATGAATGAGTAGGAGCCTTGGCCTGTGGTATCATGTATCTGGTGACACTGCTGGTGGAGAAGCTCTGCTTGTCCCTTGACAACAACGAGGAGCTCGTCTTCTGCCTCAAGGTGGGACCTCCTCTCCTTATAACGAGGATGACTACATAGGAGCACTGCATGTAATGTAATATATGATATTTTTTTTTCACAAGAAGCCAGCACGTTTTCTGTAGTGCACTGAAGAAGCTTGCGCTATTTGTGTACAGTGAACCGGGCTGGATGAATGATTGTGTGGGTTTGGGTCTTCCATCCATGCAACCTCAATCACTGCAATCCTCTGCAATCCTTGTCCTCCGGGACGCAATTCAGGGCACGCAACCTTGTCCTTGCTTCCTCAGCAATTCTTCTTTTCCGGGAGTGGCGCCCCATGCTAAATTCGATGAATCGGGTCAAACAGGGGCCCTGCGAGCCAAGGTCCTGCAATGAACCATTTATTTCAACGCGCCCCGATGACTCTTTCATTCCCAGGAGTGGTGGCGCGTGTTGGATTCAATGAACCATGATGACAGCCAGTGGGCGCTGTGAGCCCACTCAACGTGCCCCCCCACTCTTTCATTCCCCACCACCAACCAGGAGTGGCGGCGCGTGCTGGATTCAATGAATCACGACGCCCAGTGGGCGCTGCGGGCCAAGGCAGTGCTCGACCGCTCCTCTCAACGCCCCCCCCTCACTCTTTCATTCACCACCAACCAGGAGTGGCGGCGCGTGCTGGATTCAATGAATCACGACGCCCAGTGGGCGCTGCGGACCAAGGCAGTGCTGGACCGCACGCGGCTCATCTTACAGGGCAAGGCGGAGGAGCAGCTGGCACTGTTCCAACCTGCCGCTGTGCATCTGGGTTCGAGGGTGGGGGTGGAGCAGTGGGCGATCGAAATCTTCACAGAGGAGGTCATCCGCGCTGGGTCGGCCGCGGCTCTGTCACAACTCTTGAACCGTCTCGATCCCCAGATCAGACAGGCTGCTGACCTGGGCAGGTGAGGCTGGCTGTGGGTGAGGGAGCATGTGGGGGCGAGGGTGCACGGGGAGCAGTGGGCGATTGATATCTTCACACAGGAGGTCATCCGCGCTGGCTCTGCTGCTGAACCGTCTGGACCCTCAGATCCGACAGGCTGCAGACCTGGGCAGGTGAGGGAGGGAGGCTGGCTGTGGGCGAGGGTGTATCTAGGAGGGAAGGTGCATCTCGGTTCGAGGGTGCATGTGGAGCAGTGGGCGATTGAAATCTTCACAGAGGAGGTCATCCGCGCTGGCTCTGCTGCTGCGCTCTCGCAGCTGTTGAACCGGCTGGACCCGCAGATCCGACAGGCGGCCGACCTGGGCAGGTGAGGGAGAGAGTCCATATGCAGTTGGCAAGTGATCAGCCGTGCAGACGTGCGCGGGTGGGTGGAGGTGGTAGATGAGTTGGCAGAGGTGCAGGAGAGGCTGTTGTGTTGTGCATGAAAGGATGTTTTACTCATTCACCACACCCCACGTATGACCTGTCTCCCCCACCTTTCCCTCCGCAGCTGGCAAGTGATCAGCCCTGCGGACGTGCGCGGGTGGGTGGAGGTGGTAGATGAGCTAGCAGAGGTGCAGGAGAAGACGTATGATCGACCAACAGTGCCCTGCATTCTCTTCCCTTCCTCCCCTTTCCCTGTGCAGCTGGCAAGTCATCAGCCCTGCGGACGTGCGAGGGTGGGTGGAGGTGGTAGATGAGCTAGCAGAGGTGCAGGAGAAGACGTATGATCGACCAACAGTGCCCTGTATTCTCTTCCCTTCCTCCCCTTTCCCTGTGCAGCTGGCAAGTCATCAGCCCTGCGGACGTGCGAGGGTGGGTGGAGGTGGTAGATGAGCTAGCAGAGGTGCAGGAGAAGACGTATGATCGACCAACAGTGCCCTGTATTCTCTTCCCTTCCTCCCCTTTCCCTGTGCAGCTGGCAAGTCATCAGCCCTGCGGACGTGCGAGGGTGGGTGGAGGTGGTAGATGAGCTAGCAGAGGTGCAGGAGAAGACGTATGATCGACCAACGGTGCTGGTGGCGCGGAGGGTGAGGGGAGAGGAGGAGATCCCTGCAGGGGTGGTAGCGCTGCTGACGCCTGACATGCCTGATGTTCTCTCCCACGTGTCCGTGCGAGCGAGGAACTGCAAGGTAAGTGACGGTGATATGCGGTGGTGTCCTGTGCTGTGTGGTGCTGTGCGGTTCTCTGGTGTTCTCTAGCTGTTCTGGCGGTGCCAGACGGTGATGGTGGCGCGGAGGGTGAGGGGAGAGGAGGAGATCCCTGCAGGGGTGGCGGCGCTGCTGACCCCTGACATGCCCGACGTGCTCTCCCACGTGTCCGTGCGAGCACGTAACTGCAAGGTGCGTAACAGTTCTGTGCGGTGACGTGCGGTGCTGTGCAGTTCCCTGGGATTCTGTACCTCTGCTGGATTCCCTGCAGGGGTGGTGGCGTTGCTGACCACTGACATGCCTGATGTTCTCTCCCACGTGTCCGTGCGAGCACGTAACTGCAAGGTGAGACCTCTGAGCCGAACTGCAAGGTGGCAGTAGCATGGCTTTCAGTGTCCGTATGGCATCGGTGCTGGTGGCACGGGGTGATGTTGGCACGGGGTGCTGTTGGCACGGGGTGCTGGTGGCACGGGGTGTGAAGGAGGATCCCTGCAGGGGTGGTGGCGCTGCTCGCCCCTGACATGCCCGACGTGCTCTCCCACGTGTCCGTGCGGGCTAGGAACTGCAAGGTGCGTTGCGGTGATGTGCGGTTCTCTGGGGTTCTCTAGCTGTATGTACTGCACCAGGGTGTGCTTTGCAACCTGCTACGACCGCAGCCTACTGGGCTCCATCTGAGCACTGCAGGGGAAGAGCGCCCGCTGTGCTGCACCCTCATTCCGCCCTGCCCAGCACAACATGCCCCTTATTCTATATGCTGCTACTCCCCCCCCTCCCCCCCCTCCCCCTCCCTCTCTCCTTCCCATCCCAGGTGTTCTTTGCAACCTGTTTCGACCCGGCTCTGCCGGACTCCATCCGAGCGGGTTACACTGCTGGGGAAGAGCGGGTTACACTGCTGGGGAAGAGCGGGTTACACTGCTCACTCATTCCTCCCTGCGAACCCCGTTACTCCCCTGCGTCCCCCTCTTACGCCTCCTCCCACCCCCCATGTGTGCTTCGTCACCTGCTTTGACCCGGCTCTTCTCGACGCCATCAGAGCGCTGCAGGGGAAGAGCAGGCTGCCCGCCCAGCCCATCGCTCCCCTTATTCAATACTCCTACTCTCCCGCCCCCTCCTCCAGGTGTGCTTTGCCACCTGCTTCGACCCGGCTCTGCTGGACTCCATCCGAGCGCTGCAGGGGAAGAGCGCCCGCTGTGCCCCCAACACCTCTGGGTCCGAAGTCATTGTCAGGTGGGTGCCCCCCAGCTCATTGTCAGCTGATCGTCAGGTGGATTCTCAGGTGATTGTCAGGTGGGTGGCCCCCAGTTTTTTGTCTGCTCATTGTCAGCTGATCGCCAGATGGATTCTCAGGTGATTGTCAGGCAGGTGCCCCCAGGTCAAGGGAGTAAAGCCTTCCACACTGATGCACTCACACATGCACTTCGCACGTATGAAATTCCTCATGTCTCCTGGCAGCTGGTTGGGAGGGCAGGAGACGGAGCAGCAGGTAGCTTATCGCCCTCTGCCTTTTGTGACCTGCCTCCACCCCTCCTGACCTCCTTTCACCCCGCTGCAGTGAAATCGACGCAAAGCTGGTGTCAGGGGGAGACGGGGCAGCAGCGGACCGAATGGCTGCACTGTCCCACCCTTCCTGACCCCTTTCCACCCCTCCTGACCTGATTCCACCCCGCTTGTGCCTGTCTTCTCCCTGCAGTGAAATCGACCCAAAGCTGGTGTCAGGGGGGGATGGGGCCGCAGCGGACCTGGCAGGGCCGCCTCCCGGGCTGCACATCAAGAGGAAGCAGTTCGCCGGGCGATATGCCGTCACTTCCAACGAGTTCACACCTGAACTGGTATGCATCGCACTGCACCGCACTGCACTGCACTGCACTGCACCGCACTGCACTGCACTGCACTGCACTAGGTGCCCGACTGTGTGTATTCTGTAGCAGCAGCGGACCTGGCAGGGCCGCCGCCCTGCCCTAAATCCCCTCTCCTGCCTCTCTGCTGCCTGTTGAACCTCCTTCCATTATCCCTCCCTCCTCCCTCTCCCCATCAGGTGGGAGCCAAGTCACCGGGCTGCAGGGCAAGCTGCCCGCTTTATTTCCTCACCTGCGGCCCTGCCTTCCCATCATCCCCCTCTCCTACCCTCCGTATCCTCCCTCCTGTGCTCTTCACCCTGCTTCCCCCCACCGGGTGGGAGCCAAGTCGCGCAACATTGCCGGGCTGCAGAGCAAGCTGCTGCCCTCTTTGCTTTCTCACCTGCTGCTCCACCTTCCCATCCCGCCTTTCACCTCTCTTCTCCCCTTACCAGGTGGGAGCCAAGTCGCGCAACATAGCCGGGCTGCAAGGCAAGCCGTTGAGACAAGTCAAACCTCCCTGCCGAACCCCCTTTCCATCCTCCCTGCCTCCTCATCCTTCCTCTCACCACCAGGTGGGGGCCAAGTCGCGCAACATAGCCGGGCTGCAGGGCAAGCTGCCCCGTTTGCTTCCTCACCTGCTGCCCCGCCTTACCACTGTCCTTCCCTCCTTCCCTCCTTATCCTTATCCCCCTCTCACCACCAGGTGGGGGCCAAGTCGCGCAACATAGCCGGGCTGCACGGCAAGCTGCCCTCGTGGATCCACCTGCCCACCTCCGTGGCTCTGCCGTTCGGCTCATTCGAGAGTGCTCTCGCCGACCCCATCAACCAGGCATGTGCTGCAGTGATGTGCACTGTAAATTCAAATCTGTAAAAGTCCGTGTGAAGTGGGTCCTCCTGCCTTCATGGATCCGCCTGCCCACCTCCGTGGCTCTGCCCTTCGGCTCCTTTGAGTGTGCCCTCGCCGACCCAATCAACCAGGCACGTGCCGCCATGTTCAGTGTGTGTTGTAAGAGCGTGTAGCCTGCTCTGGTCGATCCGTATTTTGCCCTCGTGGATCCACCTGCCCACCTCCGTCGCTCTGCTCTTCGGCTCATTCGAGAGTGCCCTCGCCGACCCCATCAACCAGGCACGTGCCGCAGCATAGCTTGTCCGAGCACCCCACTCCACCGCACACAACCTATCAGCACCTGGTCTCAGCGATGAAGTCTCTGGGCGCATATCTTCCTTTACCACCCTTCCTAACCTTGCAACCACACACCCAACCTCTCCTCACTCCAACCCACCTCACCCCACCCCACCTAACCTCACCCCACTCCACCCCGCCCTGACTCACTCCGCCCCATCCAACCGCACCCCACCTTGCAGAGTGTAGCAGCGGAGATCAAGACTCTGAGTGCGGACCTGGAGCAGGGCGATGTGAGCATGCTGCCCAACATTCTCAAACTCCCAACCCCTGCTTTGTCTTCCCACCCCATCCCTCCGCACCCCACCCCACCCCACCCCACCCCGCTGCATCCCACCGCATCCCACCTATCAGAGCGTAGCAGCGGAGATCAAGACTCTGAGCGCAGACCTGGAGAAGGGCGATGTGAGCATGCTGCCCAACATCCGTCGTGCTGTGCTGGGACTCAAGGCACCGCCACAGCTGGTATTTATGGGAAGGGGAGAATGGAACATGTGGGTGTGGGGGTGGGAGAGTTGGGGCCAATGCACGGTGGGTGGATGGCATGCTGCCCAACATCCGCTGTGCCGTGCTGGGACTCAAGGCTCCTCCGCAGCTGGTGAGAGGGGGAGAGGGGAAAAGAGGGGGTGGGAAGGGAGGGATGGGGTATGCATGGGCATGGGTGTCGTGTGAGTCGACTCAAAAGGACCTGGAGAGGGACGATGTGATGTGAGCATTCTGCCCAACATCCGCCGTGCCGTGCTGGGACTCAAGGCTCCTCCGCAGCTGGTGAGACATGGGGTATGAGAGAGTACGTGGGTGTGCTTGGGCATGCTGCCCAACATCCGCCGTGCCGTGCTGGGACTGAAAGCACCGCCACAGCTGGTGAGAGGGGGAGAGGAGGAAAGATGGGTTGGGGTGGGGTGGCGTGGGATGGGATACGGGATGGGATAGGATGGGATAGGATGGGATAGGATGGGACGGGATGGGATGGGGTGGGACGGGATGGGATGGGGTGGGATGGGATGGGGTCGCTGCTGCTAGTGGGGCAGAGGGGGCAGGAAGGTGTATGCATGGGTTCCCTGTGCTCTATCACTTTCAGTGTGCACACACCCAATGCCTTTCTTACTCTCTACCTCTACTCCTCCCTGTCTCCCTCCCAGGTATCCGATCTCAAGGAAGCGATGAAGAGCTCTAACATGCCATGGCCGGGGGATGAGGGCAAGGGGCGGTGGGAGAAGGCGTGGGGGGCATCACACCTATCTGCCTCTCTCCCTCCCTGTCGCTCTCCCTCTTTGCCTCTACCCCTCCCTGCCTCCAGGTATCCGACCTCAAGGAAGCGATGAAGAGCTCTAACATGCCATGGCCGGGGGATGAGGGCGAGGGGCGGTGGGAGAAGGCGTGGGGAGCGATCAACGAGCGTGAAACTCAACACTGCGCTCTTGCTGTCAGCCTCTCCCCCTGTGCCCCACTCCTGCTCTCTCTCACTGCCTCTCCCAGGTGTCTGACCTCAAGGAGGCAATGAAGAAATCGAACATGCCATGGCCGGGGGATGAGGGCGAGGGGCGGTGGGAGAAGGCGTGGGGAGCGATCAACGAGCGTGAAACTCAACACTGCGCTCTTGCTGTCAGCCTCTCCCCCTGTGCCCCACTCCTGCTCTCTCTCACTGCCTCTCCCAGGTGTCTGACCTCAAGGAGGCAATGAAGAAATCGAACATGCCATGGCCGGGGGATGAGGGCGAGGGGCGGTGGGAGAAGGCGTGGGGGGCGATCACACCTATCTGCCTCTCTCCCTCCCTGTCGCTCTCCCTCTTTGCCTCTACCCCTCCCTGCCTCCAGGTATCTGACCTCAAGGAAGCGATGAAGAGCTCTAACATGCCATGGCCGGGGGATGAGGGCGAGGGGCGGTGGGAGAAGGCGTGGGCGGCAATCACGAGGGTGTGGGCGTCCAAGTGGAATGAGCGGGCGTATATGAGCATGCGCAAGGCCCGGCTCGACTTCAACTCACTGTCAATGGCAGTGCTCGTGCAGGTGGGTGGGTTGAGAGGGATTGTGTGCGGTGCCGCGGTGTGCAGTGCGGTTGTGTGCGGTGGTGCGCGGAGGGGGGCGAGTCGCACGGGTGTGGGCGTCCAAGTGACACGAGCGGGCGTATGTGAGCATGCGCAAGGCACGGCTCGACTTCAACTCGCTCTCAATGGCAGTGCTTGTGCAGGTGGGTGGGTTGAGAGGGATAGTGTGCGGTGCAGTGTGGTGGTGTGCGGTGGGCGGCAATCACAAGGGTGTGGGCGTCCAAGTGGAACGAGCGGGCGTATGTGAGCATGCGCAAGGCCCGGCTCGACTTCAACTCGCTCTCAATGGCAGCGCTTGTGTAGGTGGGTGGGTTGAGAGGGATAGTGAGCGGTGCAGTGCGGTTGTGTGCGGTGGGCGGCAATCACAAGGGTGTGGGCGTCCAAGTGGAACGAGCGGGCGTATGTGAGCATGCGCAAGGCTCGCCTCGACTTCAACTCGCTCTCCATGGCAGTGCTTGTGCAGGTGGGTGGGTTGAGAGGGATTGTGTGCGGTGGTGTGCAGTGCTGTAGGTGTGCAGTGCGGTTGTGTGCGGTGGAGGGCGCTCACGAGGGTGTGGGCGTCCAAGTGGATCGATCGTGCGTATGTGAGCATGCGCAAGGCCCGGCTCGACTTCAACCCTCTCTTAATGGCAGTGCTCGTGCAGGTGGGTGGGGAGGATAGAGGGGTAGAGTGTGGTAGTGTGCGGTGGGGGGCAGTCACGTGGGTGTGGGCGTGCTAATGTGAGCATGCGCAAGGCTTGCCTCGACTTCAACTCGCTCTTTATGGCAGTGCTCGTGCAGGTGGGTGGGGGGAAGAGAGGGGGGGTACTGTTCGGTGGTGTGCGATGGGGGGCAATCATGCGGGTGTGGGCGCAAGGCTCTTCTCAACTGGTGGGGAAGGGATGGATGATTAGAAGCAAGGGTTCATGCACGGTGGTGAGTGGTGAGGCGTTGTGGGTTGTGAGCATGCGCAAGGCTTCAACTCCCTCTCCATGGGTGGGGGTGGGCTCATGTTTGCACAAGGAGGAGGAAATAAGTGACGCCCTTATCACGTAGCTCGTCCCACTTGGTCACTTATCATCTCCTCACGTAACTCTTCTTCCTTTATCTGCTACCCCCTTATCTCCCACTCCCCCCCACCCCCCCGTACCTCCCTCACTTTCACAGGAGATCGTGCGGGCGGAATATGCCTTTGTGGTGCACACGGAGAACCCCTCCACGGGCGATAAGAATCAGATCTACGCGGAGGTGGTCAAGGGGTTGGGGGAGACGCTCGTGGGTGCTTTCGCTGGGCGCGCGCTGAGCTTCAGTGCTGACAAGGGACACACCGACCGGCCCAAGGTGAGTTACGCAGCAACACAGTTGATGACAGGGGGTGGGGAAGAGAGGGAAAGAGAAGCACAATGAAAGAACTGGGGGAGACGCTCGTGGGTGCTTTCGCTGGGCGCGCGCTGAGCTTCAGTGCTGACAAGGGACACACCGACAGGCCCAAGGTGAGGAGGGGTTGAAAGAGATGCTGTTGGGTTCTTTTTCTGAGCTTCAGAGCTGACAAGGGGCACACCGACCGGCCCAGTGTGAGGGGTTGAAAGAGATGCTGGTGGGTGCTTTTGCTGAGCTTCAGAGCTTCAGCGCTGCTTTCGCTGGGCGCGTGCTGAGCTTCAGTGCTGATAAGGGGCACACCGACTGACCCAAGGTGAGTGGAGGGAGCAACACAATTGATGACACAGGGTGGGGAAGAGAGAGAGAGGGATTTATTGATGGAAGGGGCTGGGGGAGACGCTTGTGGGTGCTTTCGCTGGGCACGCGCGCGCTGAGCTTTGGTGCTGACAAATGCCACACGGACCGGCCCAAGGTGAGTGGAGAGGTGCAGAAGGACTCTGAGCTTCAGAGCACGCATGTGGTATGTTGGGTTGACAACAGGCACGTATCCATGCACTTTCAGAGCGTGCAGGGGCCAGTTAGGGCTGAAAGCGAGGAAAGGGAGGTTGGAGTCAAGGTGAGGGACGTGGTACGTTGTCAGATTGATTATGCTATGCTAGTCACATTCATCTGGTACGGGGAGACATTGATGTCAAATTGCAATTCAGTTTGAGAGGAACAAGAAAGGTTTACTCAACATGTGCCATCCTAATTCACCCCAGCCCCATCCCACTCCCATTTCACCCCCACCATCACTAAACTTCTCGCTCCCCGCAGGTCCTCGGCTTCCCCTCCAGGCGGGTGGGCCTCTTCATCCGCCCGTCCATCATCTTCCAACTCCTGAAACGAACCATAATTCAACAACCCAACCCCATCCCAACCCACCCACCCCCATCGCACCCCCATCCCAACCCAATCCCATCCCCATCTCACCATCCCAACCCAATCCCACCCCCATCTCACCATCCCAACCCAATTCCACCCTTGCTCCCCGCAGGTCCTTGGCTTCCCCTCCAAGCGAGTGGGCCTCTTCATCCGCTCGTCCATCATCTTCCGATCTGACTCCAACGGAGAGGACCTCGAGGGATACGCAGGCGCAGGGCTCTATGACAGGTGAGCGGGGAAGCTTATAGAGGGGACAACGTTGAGTTTCTTTTTTCCAAGCACCTCGGGCATCTAGTGGCTGTCGCATCATCCGCTCGTCCATCATCTTCTGATCCGACTCCAACGGGGAGGACCTTGAGGGATACGCAGGCGCAGGGCTGTATGACAGGTGAGTGAGCGGGGAAGCTTATAGCGGGGACAACGTAGAGTTTCTTTTTCCAAGCACCTTGGGCAGCTGGCTGTCACTTCATCCGCTCGTCCATCATCTTCTGATCCGACTCCAACAGGGAGGACCTCGAGGGATACGCAGGGGCAGGGCTGTATGATAGGTGAGTGAGCGGGAAAGCTCATTTAGAGGATGAGGGGGCCCTGTCAATCATTCTTATCTCTATCGGTGGCCCTGTCAATCATTCTTATATCTATCTCTAACTGCTGTTTCTTCATTTCAATCCTCAATTAATTCTACCCCTCTCTCCATTGTCTCATCACCTCCTTCTCTCAAACTATGTTTGTCCCATTCCCTACTCTATTTCTGACCAAATCCTTTCTACTTCCAACACTCAAAAGCCTTGTGCGGTGCTGTACTCTTCTGTTTCCTTGACAACCTTTTCTTCAGTGTTCCAATGGACGAGGAAGAGGAGAGGGTGGTAGACTATTCTTCGGATGCTCTCGTGGTTGACTCGGCGTTCCAGCACTCCATCCTCTCTAAGATCGCATCCGCCGGCGAGGCTATAGAGCAGCTGCTGGGCTCGGCTCAGGATATCGAGGGCGTGATCAAGGATGGGAAGCTGTATGTGGTGCAAACAAGGCCGCAGATGTGAGAAAGTAGTGCTCTACTTGAGGAGGCGAGGGTGTAGTTTCATACATAGAGACTTAAGGGTGATTTGTAGGTATGATATGCATGAAATGGCTATGACATTGTGGTATTCATGCTGGTTTGTCGTTGGTAGAATAGAGTATGCTTGATGTGCAATGCCTTGCTATTGCTTGCCCCTAAAAGTTTTAGGTTTAGGGTTTTATTAAGGTCATAACCTGTTACAAACAGTAATACAATGCAAATGGACTATGATGCAAAATAACCATCAACACCATGAAGGTGTGCGTCAATATACGCTATTCCCCCACCCGTAGGCGGCCGCCGGAGTGAGACGCGGTTTGCATTGTAAGTGTCGGAGAGATTCAAGGGGGGTGAAAAGTGTCGTTCAGGAACCAAGAGGTGCGGAGGTCCGGGTGAATAGAAGGGGTACCGTCGGGGGAGAACATGAAGAGCCAGAGACGTTTGGTGCACGAAATGCTGGAGGCTGTGCGGAGGCGCTTTTTGGGGGATTGTCTGGCACGTCGCCATAGGAAGATTTTAAAAGCAATAAGAAACTGGGCCAAAATGAGTTGGAGGGCTTCAAATCTCGTTGTGGGAGAGTCCTGAAATTTCTTTTCGCAGCGGAAGTTCCAAATGGCTTTCGCGGCTGCATCGACAAGGAGGCCCCATGGGGCGGATTGGCCGGCGCGCGAGTGTAGAGGGAAAAGGGTGAGTTCAGAGGTGGTGGAGAGCCCTAGGTGGCGGCGGGCGACGGTGCGGAGAGCGGTGGTGATGGCAGGGACGACACCGCAGTCAAAGAAGACGTGAGAGATGGTCTCTAACGCCCTCGAGGTACAGCAGGGGCAGATGCCGCGGTCGTTGGCAAATTGGAAGCGAGCGCCGGAGGGAAGCGAGCGGGTGTATAAGCGGAAAAGAAGGTCTCTTTGCTGGCTCGGCTGGTCATGCAGGAAGTCGTGGGAAAGGTTGGGGAAGAAAGGAGGAGGCTGCCTAGGGAGGGAGGCGGTCCAGCGTGTGTCGTGGTTGAGAGGTAGTTGTGTGTAGCGCAGTTGACGGATATCTGCGAGAGACGGGGGTTCTTCCTGCAGGAGCTCTATCCTTGCTCCAAGACCTGCACCTGTATGAAGTGGCCCCGCTAGCCACCTACCCTGAACACGAACAGGGGTTAGGAAGTGGAGGTCCAAACGGCGAGAGTCGAGTGGATGTTTAGAGAGGCGTGATGAGCGTGAAACCGTGAAAACATATATGTCGATGAAAGAGGGTGGGGAGAAGTGGAGGGTTTCTAAGACGAGAGAGGGGGGAACGGAGGAGTCGTTGGCTGAGACGTACCAATCGCCGTGGGAGGGAAGGGTAGGGTGTGGAGATGCGAGGGTTGCCCACCAATCTGCCGAAATGGCTGCGCAGACCTGTTTAAGAATACGTCTGCCAGATGGGAAAAGGCGGGGGGGGGGAAGAGAGGGGTGAATTCTTTGTTAGTGAGAGGGCGGACCGAGGTGGGGGTGATGCGTGCAAAGTGGCCCACTCGTAGCTCAAGGGAGAGGAGGAAACGCTCGTATTTACGCCCGCCAAAAGGTTTACCATTTGGGCAGATAATGGAGCGATTGAAAGCAAGGGGTTCTTCCAAAATGCATGCAGCCACAAGACGAGGGGGGAGGATGGTGGGGGGAAGGGAGATAAAGGCGTGGAGTTCAGCTATGGCGCGGGCGGGTGTGTCCGGGGGGAGGTGGTTGCGTAAGAGGATATCATGGTGGGCGAGGTAGGCGTAAAGGCCGTACGGAAGGGTGGAGGAAAGGCAGGCAATGCTTTCGGACGGAGATGCCCCGAAACGGCGAAGGGCGCGTTGGGTAGAGAGGGCAAGGACATGTTGGCGGAGGGAGAAGGCCCCGAGACCCCCGTGTGAGACATGGTTGTAGAGGATACGGTTTGGGATAAGGCGGACAGCAAGGCCATGTTCCTTGAAGCGAGAGGAGGAGAGAAAATTGCCAACGGCGGCGTCCAGACGGGTGAGAATTGGAGCAGGAACATGTTGGAAACGTGCGGGGAAGGAGATGACCGTATTTAGGAAGACGTTAGAGAGCGATTTGTGACAGGAGGCAGTTGCGTGTGTCGAAGTGAAAGGCCCCGCCCTCGCTTGGGCGCAGGCATTCTCTGCGAGGACGTGGTGAATTCGACGAAGTGATCGTCGCATTGGATCAGCCCGTCCTCTGAAACCACGGTGGTTTTCGAGGTGGTAGTCCTCTGATTCACCAGCCCAACGACGAGCTCTGGTCGACCGGGTGTTGTTCGACGAGCTCGTCCTATGATTTGCTAGTGAGTCGCGCGATCTCTGACGGACGGAGTGCTTTCCGAGAAGCCCTGTTCTCTGATCGAAGGGCGCCATTCGGCGAGCCTCGTCTCGGCGAACTGGTCGGCCGAAGTCGCGCGACTGCGGAACTCTGCGAAGGCATGCGAAATTCGCTCAGGTGGTTCTTAGCGAAATTTCACCTGCAGAATGGCATTACGTGCTCGACGGTGGACACCTGACGAAACCGTCGGGACGTTTTGTACCTGGCACTTGCGCAATGTCTCTGACGGTGCAACCGTCTACCTGCACCTACTCGGCAGGTGCACACCTAAGCATATATTCACATGCGAATTCAGCGCTGGCAGGCCGCCCTGCTGCAGCGCTGGCATGTCGCCCTTCTGCAACGCTGGCAGGCCGCCCTGTTGCAGCGTTGGCGAATCGCTTTGATGCAGTGCTGGCAATTCGCCTTGCAGAATGCTTGCCAGGGGTTCCAATGTCATTCTAGTCATGTAAACTTCCATGCCTCTTTTGTACTAAAATTATGAATCCTCAATGTTTCTTTCAATTCCTTAGTGGAAACTCTTGCCAAATTTATCTGTTAACACAACAAGTAGTAAGAACTTTACTAGAGCGCTACGATCACCCGCACAACCCCGTGCCCTCCTCCGTAGTCCACTCCCGTTGTAGGGTGATTCTCCGCAGCGCGAAGACCGGCCAGAGCTTTGGATGCTTTCCCCTGAAAGTGAATGAGAACTCCAGGTAAGGAAATATTGATGAGTTGAAAATTTGACTTCCTATAGCAAGGACCTGTATCTTCTCACATTGCCTGTTTTTTTCCTGGCATAATCCTTTTTAGTACCTGATGATTTATTTTGCTAAGCACTTCTACTTTGAATATAAGTTTGCAGACTGTAAGGAAAATTCCTTTTCCTTACCTCGCGCCCCTGCTCAGCGCGTACACCACTGTAGCACCACAGTCAGCACCGTTACCACTCGCAACCCTCGCATCGACAATCCTCCCGCCACCTTCGCACGTCGCACCCCGACTTCACGGCTCGGAGGGTAACGCGCGCTCCGGGCCTCCGCCTCGACATTTTCCCAAACCTCGGTTCCAGGCCCGTCGCGCATCACCCACAGTTCATTACCGTTACCACTGTAGGTTCACTATATATTCTTCGCTCATGCCTTCGCTCATTGTACTCTTGCTTCGATAGTGCATCGCTCGCTCGCTCACTCAATTGCACTCGTAACACTTGGTATTCAGAGCCTACGATCTCTTCTCGGACCGCACCCACACCTTCGCTTCCCCACTATCTCAACTTTTGGGGGGGGTAGATGCCTCTCAGCGACACAGCACCGCCGCTCGTAGTGCTCTCTTGTAAGCACGCACGGCCATGACAGAGGCTCTCGCTGAGCTTGCCCGACACCCCCGCCATGGCCGAATTTACGCTCGCGACACTGACGCAGGAGCAACTCGACCGTCTCGTGCGCCAAGTCGAAGAATCGGCACTCGAAATTGCGACGCTCACGGCGGAACGTGACTCCGCACGTCAGCAATCTACGGTGAATACTCCGGCGCCACCACACGCACCTGCAAATGCACCTGCACAATCGGAGGAGCCGATCGTCATTTCATCAGGCACACCGACACAGAACGACAGTGTGGGACAGCGCTCAGGCGCAGCCAGTGATGGCGCCGCCCACTCGATGCCGGGCATGGAGAGGAACAGGGTTGCGCCAAGCCCACGGGAGCCTCGTGAAGCCCGTCGGCACGTGGAATTTGCGGCGACAAGTGGCGACCACGCCATCATGACGCCAATGCCACTAAAGCCGCAGCGCCCGCCCTGTTTCGACCCGAGTCAGCGTGGAGGTCCGACGGTTCAGTCGTGGGTCTTCACGATGAACGTATTTTTCGACGCAAACTACGTCGAGTCGGACGCATCGAAGATTAGATACGCCGTCTCGCTGCTGAGGGGCCCCGCCATGGACTGGTGGCGAGTCATTGTGACATCGCCACGCGCCTACGAGCCACCGTCGCAAGAGGAAGGGCCCACGGGTCCAGCCGTCACCTGGAGTTCATTCTGCGAAACCGCCCAGTACAGCACGTGGGACGCGTGGTGCGCAGGGTTTCGGGCGCGCTTCGAGCCGATCGCGGCTTCTATTTCGGCGCGTCAGAGACTGCGTACTTGGCGGCAGCTCGGGTCGGTTCAAGACTACACGAGCGGTTTTCTCGCATTATGCGAGCAAGTCGGCTACATGCACGAAGCGGAGCGGGTGGACCGTTACGTCGGAGGGCTGAAGCCGGACATCTCGCACGAAATCATGCTACGCGGACTCTCGAATTTCAACAAGATTCTCGCGCTCGCCGAGAAAATCGACATTTTGCGCCGCCCGAGACCGGGGTCCTATTACGGACATCGCCCTCGGGAACCGATCGAGCACGCCACCGTACATGCCGTTGCGACGAATGCAGCTGCCGCGCCGTTTAAAGGGCGCTGCTTCGCTTGCAATAGGCCGGGCCATCGCAAGAGTGAGTGCCCAGAGGAGCTGAGGCGCCGCGGAGCAGAGCAGGGGAGGGAGTCTCCAAGGCAGGGAAACGCCAGCAGTCAGTAGGAATCGGGCCAACTACTGACGAGACTGCCTGCTCGCCCAACCCCACCGACCCTCACCGAGTCACAGTACCGATTCATGCTATCGATCGGGCTCGGACGAATAAGGAGGGT